CCTTAAAAGTAGCAAACTTGTTCTTTTCCTGCTCTTTCCAGTAGTGGTTTCACATGGTTGGTGATGGTCTGGGTCTCAGCCGTGGCAGACTGCATGGCTGAAGGTGCCCCCACACATCTTGCTGGCAGCTATCAGGAGATGGGCCGAGCGGAAACCAGACCTGAGGTCCCTGCTCTGCTTAAGGCAGGTGGCCTTAGAATCCATTGTTTAACACCTTTACACACATACACAAATAACTCCAGCTCAAAAGCCTTAAACAGTACATTTTTACAAGCATTTAAAGAGAAAATAACTTGGGCGCCTGGGTGTCTCAGTCAGCTGAGCGTCCGACTTTGGCTCAGGTCATGATCTCGGGTTTCGTGAGTTCTAGCTCCGCATTGGGCTCTCTGCTGTCAGCACAGAGACCACTTCAGATCCTCTGTTTTCCCTCTCTCTTCCCCTCCCCCATTGGTTCTCATTCTCTCTCCTCTCTCTCTCTCTCAAAATAAAGAAACATTAAAAAAGACAGAGAAAATAACATCAATCTTAAAAAACAACAGGTGCGCCTGGGTGGCTCAGTTGGTTAAGTGTCTGACTTTGGCTCAGGTCATGATCTCGCAGACTGTGAGTTCGAAAGCCCCACATCGGGCTCTGTGCTGACACTTTGGAACCTGGAGCCTGCTTCAGATTCTGTGTCTCCCTCTCTCTTTGCCCCTCCCCTGCTTGTGTTCTGTCTCCCTCTCTCAAAAATAAACATTAAAAAAAATAACAAAAAAAGCAAAAAAACAACAAAACCTTGTCTCCTAGAGCATAGAAAAAAGAGAACACTTCCCAGCTGTTCTCATATATATATATATGTATATATATATATATATAGTGAGGCCACTATAACTTTGATACCAAAACCTGACAAGGACATTATAAGAAAGGAAAAATACAGACCAGCATCTCTCATAAACATAAAGACAAATATCCTAAACAAAATGGTAACAAATCAGAGGTGACTGGCTGACTCAGTTGGTAGAGTATGCCACTCCTAATCTCTGGGTCGTCAGTTTAAGCCCCATGTTGGGTGGGGCTTTTAACTCTTAAAAACAGTCAGCAAATCAAGGGGCGCCTGGGTGGCGCAGTCGGTTAAGCGACCGACTTCAGCCAGGTCACGATCTCGCGGTCCGTGAGTTCGAGCCCCGCGTCGGGCTCTGGGCTGATGGCTCAGAGCCTGGAGCCTGCTTCCGATTCTGTGTCTCCCTCTCTCTCTACCCCTCCCCCGTTCATGCTCTGTCTCTCTCTGTCCCAAAAAATAAATAAACGTTGAAAAAAAAAATTAAAAAAAAAAAACAGTCAGCAAATCAAATAAAAATGATATTAAAATCATGAACAAATGGGGTTCTTCCAGGGATGCAAGGGTGGCTTAACAGTCATTGCATATCTTAAAAGACAGAAAAATTATTTGTCTTGATAACACAGAAAATACATTTGAAGAACAACCTGATAGGAAAATGGGCAGAAGATTTTAACAGAAACTTCATAAAAGAGGATGTTCAGATGACCAAGAATTACTTCCAACCCTCAGCATTAGGCATGGGTTTGTTCATTGTCTGTCTCACCCACCACAAAGGCAAGGACTTTGAACATCTGGGTTACCACTGTGACCCCAGCACAATGGCTAGCAGATAGTAGGTGCTGCTCATCCTATTTGATGAAGCACCTTTTGGGAAGAGAAGCATTCTTGCACCCGCAAGGCCCACTGAGTTGTACTCTGTACACATCCATGTCCACAGGCATAATGGCCGGGGCTCAGGCCACCTGGGCTGGAGTTCCCACTTAGCAGTTACATGATACTGGACACATAACTCAACCTCCCTGAGCCTGGCTTTTTTTTTTTTTTTTTTTTTTTTTATATGTATTCTACACCCAAAGTGGGTCTCCAACTCACAACTCTGAGAGCAAGATTCCCATGCTCTACCAATTGAGCCAGCCCGGCTCCCGGAGCCTGTGAGTGGGAGCAGTTCTCACCAGTAGAGAGCTAGAGTGCAGAACGATCATGCATTTTGAACATGTTTGGCTTCGAGGAACTGAGAGGCTGCTGTCACCATCACTGCTATCACAAACCCCCAGATGTGCACATTCACACATGCAGGTGCACACTGCCCAGGCAAACAAGTTCTTTCCACAGCCACAGCCCTGAGGGAAGGAAATGCAGTAATTTCCCAGTGAGCTGGCCAGGAGTCCAGAGAACCACTAGGGCCACAGGGGCTGGGAGGGGAAGGAGCTATGAGCCTACTCCACAGTGGGGTCCCCTGCTCGGACCCTGGGTCCTACTCCTAACCCTGAGATGTCAACCCACATCCAATCCAATCTACTGTAACAGTGGTCAGACTGCTGCCATCAAGGGAGCATCTCCTATGGGCCAGGCAATCTTCATGCCTACCTTTAAGGGTGCAAGTGCCAGCATGAGTCTCATTTCACAGAGGCTCAAAGGCCGCAACAGCCTGCCAGAGTTTCTGCTCTCCCCTGTGCTGAGAGTGAAACCCACAGATCCCTGGATGGGTCGGAGCAGCTGGTAAGACCCAGCTCTCAGGGGCCCATCCCCGTCCCCACCTCCACAGCCCAGTGCTAGCCCAGACTCCAGTGCCCTAAAAGGTGAGTGCTCTGGACCCCACCATCCTCTTCTACGACTACTCCCTTTATCAGTAAAGCTCTGACCTTTACAGGCTGGCTAGGAGCTAGGCAGACATTGGAATCCAGGGCAGGGGGTGGAGGATTCTGAGAAGACCCCACCCTTCCAGCAGCCCAGGACAGTTTCCATCCCTGCAGAGGCCTCCTCCCTCTGTGACACCAGGCAGCTCCCTCCTGTGCAGGCCTAGTTTCTTTATAAATCAAGTGCAGCAAATGGAAAAGCAATGAATCTTCCCACCGAGGATCCTGTGGGAGGGCAGGTATTTCTGAGTGGCAGGTATATGTCACAAAGCCCAAAAGCCAACACTACCCTGAAGTTCATGCAGTCTCTCTAGAAGACAAGCACTTGCTCAGAGCCTCAGAACACCCAGTTTGCATGCAAGCCTAACACATTGGGCCATAAGGCTGGAAGATGACAGACTAGAGAGAAAGGAACCTCACTGTCACCGTGTGTCTATTTACCCATTACTCATGGTGCTGGGTCTCTACTCATGCCAACTTTAAGACTCCTCCCCCAGGGGCCCTGGCTGCAGAAATCATGGCCCCAAAGGAACAGACCTGGCACGGTAGGCTAGGAGGAGTTCGGGTCTGGGAGGCCTGCTGCTAAAAGGAGATGGCGGGAGGGAAGCTAGAGACAGCAGGGAGGAAGGAGAGTGGGCTTCAGGCAGGCAGCTCCCTTCAGAGCCTGCAGCAACATGGCCAGGAGCCCTCAAAGGGGAATCTTGGCCAGGAGGACCCCAGCCCAGCCAGGGTCTCTTGACCCCCTGTTCCACAGCAGCTGGGGCCAGCTCCAGGCTCCCTCCCACTCCTGGCTTCTTAAAACAAGAACAGGAAGTTGAGAGTGCTGTTTGACAAGTACACAAAACACCGGGGAGAAACCACATCCGCCCTCCTCACCAAGGAGACTTGCAGGGAAGATCTTGGGCTCAAGAGCAGAGACCCCAACCACAGACCCTCACACATGCACAGCAGGGCATTCCACAGAGAACCACAAGACAAGAACCTCTCCAAGGGGAGACACAGTGGGCCCAAACCCCCTCAAAGAAATGTGGCAGCGGCTCTCACTCCTGGGGACCATGTCCCCAGCACTGGTCTCTGGGGCCTGAAGCCCCTGCCTGGTTTGCAACTACAGCTACGGTTCAGGTGGGCACAACACCTCTGTATGTTCTCCAGAGCATGGGGGAGGGGAGGTTCACTCCCCTCCCATCACCTGGAAGGCCCCTGGGGAGACCAAACAGCCTGTCCCCCACTTGTCACTGAGCTGCCACCTTCAGCCACTGTCATCATAGAAGGAGCCCTGAAGGAGGAGACAGAAAGCCCTGAGAAGAGCCCAGAGGACCAGGTCAGAGGACCAGAGACAGATGAACAGATGCACAGACAGACAGACAAAAGAAGGAAGGAAGGAAGGAAAAGGCAAATTAATGCAACAGAAGGATAAAGCATACAGGAAAGGTGAAGCCAGAACAAAGACAGCCCAGAACACCACCTGCCCAGCAGTGGCTGGGCCAGGACTCTGCCGTGCTCCCCCTTGTGCTGGGACTGTCCCCTCGGTTTATAATGCATTTCTGATCCTGACAGTGATCCATGAGGCGGATATTCCGGGAAGCAGACCCGGCCAGCAGGGAGGGAATGATTTCTCAGGCTTCTTTCTTACAGGCCCGGGCTGGGGGCCAAGGGCCAGGAGGGGCGTCCTGCTATGTTCCGCTCCGGTGGGCAGTGGAAGCCTCTCATGGGCTAGGCTTCCTGGAAAAGAATAGGAAATGCAGGCCCCCTCTCCACCACCCACCTTGCCCCGGCCCCAGACATCAAACAGTCACTGGCTGGGCCCAGGCCCTGACATCAGAAGGGGAGGCTGTGGGGGACATGGTGCTAGCAAGGGCAGATTTCCTAGATCCTGGGTCAGGGTGAGAGACTGGCCTCGGGCAGCACTGAGTGCACCCTGGCAAGCCAGGACTCACCCATACTTCTGGAAGAAAACCCCAGCCTTAGACAATTGTGTGGCTTCTCTGAAGGGCCAGTGCCAGTCATCAGGGTCAGCCCGGGCCAGACCAGGGACACTGTGGCAGTCCCCTCTCGGGGCTTCCTGAGGCCTGGAGCTAGAATGGACTCACACACCACCTCTGTCAATATCCCCAAGCCCCCTTCTGTCCTCTGCGCACACTTTTCTCCTGCTCTATGCAAGGGTCCTGGGGCTGACTCCTTGCTGGACTCCAAACTCACGTGACCCCCACCACCAGTGCACACACACATGCACCTTCTCCACACTCTCACCACGGGTCACAAAGTGTCCAGGAGGAGCCAGCCACTGAGAGCCACCCAGCTCCCACCCACCTCTTACTCACCGTCCAATCTCCGAGCAGACCTTGGAGTCAGCGGCGACCGCAGCGTGGGCAAAGGCCTGGGAGCCGCAGTGGGCATGGTGGCGAGAGAGGACCACGGCGGGCACGATGATGGCTAGGGCCAGCCCCAATCCCAGAAGGACCATGCTGACCGTGGCCCTGCGTCCCTGGGCCATGGCTCTGAGGTCCAGGGTGGAGAGACAAGGCAGGTAGACAGACAGATGGGTGGATGAATGAACAAGATGGGCAGATAGACTCACAAGTGATTGGACAGATGAACAAATAGATGGAGGCCAGAGACAGACAAACAAATGGATTGACAGTCCAGATAGCTGGACAAAAGATAGTAAGAGAAGGTTGGACAGAGACAGGATTACAGACGGTGGACAGACAGGTTTACCAACAAAGAGAGGCACCCAGAGGACAGGTGGGTGTATGGACGGACAGCTGGCGATGGCAGGGCTGCTGCCTGACTCTAATGCTTGCTATGAGAGGCAGAGCTGGCCACACGCCTGAACTTCCAGTTTTCAGTCCCTGTTCTTGGCCCTGGCGGGAGGCCAGGGACCAGGGCGTTTGTGGGGAGTTTTCCTTCCAGAAAGGAGAAAGCACCGTTAACTCCCTCATTCCCGCAGACTGCCCCCTGCAAGCCTTGATGATACAAACACCCCTCCTCCCCAGGGCTATCCCAACCCACGTGCTTGAGGACTTGGCGCCTACTGCCCACAAGACAGCTGGGGTGCAGGATGCCCAGAGCCCCCACGGCCATTCTCCAGTTCCCAGCAAAGCCAGCACAGCAGGGTTCAGGCCTGCCTGCCCAGTCCCCTCCCCTGGATCAGGCTCAGAGAGACAAGGGGGCCAGAGTGGCACCCCGACTCCTGCCTTCTTGGTGTGACCCTGCCCAGCAACAGCTTGCCCTAGTATCCTCAGAGTCAGAGGACAGTGGAGATGTTTGGGACACAGAGGTAGGGCTAAAGGGGGCCAGAGACAGAGGGAGGGAGGACCTAAGGCGATGTCACTCAGGACCCAGGTTCAAGTCCCAGCTCAGCCACAGCCTAGCCAGGGAACAAGGGTGCTAGGAAGGGGTTCAGCTTCCCAATCTGCATCAAACACCCAGGACTACAAGACATCTATGTGAGGAATGCATACAGGGCCTGCATCCAGCCCTTGGCACCCACTACCCCTGGGGCCCGCTGTCCTAGAAATGCCACCATGGGCCTCCAGAGAGCAAGGCTGCCCTCCCATCTGCCTCTCTGCCCTTCCCTGGCAATGTGTCTGCTTCCCTGTGTCTGTGGTGACATTGCCTCCTCTCCTGGGGACACTGGCCTAGGCCCTCCCTTGCCCAGACCTCAGGGTGTCCAACAGGGAGGCTGCTGGGGGAGAGGGGACCCTTTGAGTCCCCTCTTGACCAGGCTCACAGGGGCACAGGGTGCAGGGGCCACAGGCTGGACTCCCACTCACAAAGCCCCCATGCCCCCCCACCCCGTATGTCCTCTGTCTTCCTTCCCAGCTGAGCACTGCCCTCCCCAGGCCTCTCTACACCTCCTGGTATAGCAGAGAAACCATGCCCATTCAGCGACACAGACTGCTGGGCTCTGTCCCAAGCTTCTGGTCAGCCTGGACAGTCTCTCTAGTAGGCCCGTTCCCACAGCTGCCTTGTGGGATGGGGAGGGCTGTGAGCGCCTTTTCCTGCCCCCACTACCCCCCACAGCACAGTGACATTGCTCAACCAGGAAACAAAGTGCATTCCTGGGCTAGTGCCAGCCCACCCGCTAGGAGGCAGGGGCGGCAGAGACAGCAGGTCTGAGGCATCAGGAGTGGGACATCCCCCCTCCTCTCCCCAGCCATCCTGGTCAGGCTGAGGCCAGGGTGCGAGGGCTGGAGGAACAAAGGTCCAGGAAAGGAAGGAGCATCAAGGTAGGTCTGGCTAGAGATGCGGCTGGGGAGGCTTAGCTGAGAAGGGTCCTGAGTATCCATGTCCGGAGGGGACGGGTAGGAGATGATGGGAAGGAAAGAGAGAGGAAAGCAAGTCCCTCAGCACCTGAGGGAGGCTTCAGCTGAGCCTGTGGGGTCTGGGGAACTGGATGCACTCTGCCCACGTGTGGGAGCCCAAGGAGCTTCACCTCCAGCAGGAACAAGACCAGCCCCTCAGGCCTCAGTCTTCTCTTCTGCAAACAGGGCTATGGCCTTTCCTCTGGCACCAAAATGAAGGCTGAGGAGGTTTGCATACCCCAGCAGCCCAGCCTCCATCCTGTCTCCGGGGGACCCCAGCAGTACTACCCTCTGGGGCTCAGGGCCCAGGCTGCAGATATAAACCCCATTTCCTTGTGAGCACTTTGGAAACACTGGGTTTTCCTGCCTTGTGAAGGAGAGCCCAGACCTGGTCTCCCCTGGCCTCTGTGCCCCTGGTCTCAGGGGTTCCCACTCATGTTCACTGGTCAGGGGGACATCTGGCCATCCAGTTGTGACACCCCCTCCCCTGCTCACCCCCTCTAGCCTTTCACAGCTCCTCACGTCAGGCATCACAACCGAGTGTAGGAGACAAGTTAGCAGACCCCAAGGGAGGGCAGGAGGGGCTGGCCTGTGGTGGAGGGGGCAGGGTGCTATGCCCCACTGCCCCTCCAGGCCCCGCTCCTGGGCTGCATTCTCTGGCTGCCCGCCAGTCCAGCTCTGACCCTCAGGATCTGGGGACCTTTTCCAGCTCACTGTTCCCTGAGAACTGGGCCTCTTTCTGGAGCTGATCACAGCTTGAATTTCATTCTATTCTAGGTTTGTGCTTGGAAAATCCCCCTCTTGCCCAATTCCACTTTTCAGACCTCAGGTTCACTTCCATGTGTCCTCCACAGTGTGAGCGGGGGCACCCACCAGGCTGAAGAGGTAGCAGAGCTGACAAGCTTTTTCTTCTGGGTGCACTCTGGCCAAGTAAACTCCGGGGCTGTGACACCCCCTGGTGGTTAATGCTGGGAAGTGCCACTGTCCGGGCCAGAAAAGCGGCGACCTGGCCCCTGAGGCTCAAGGTACCGAAGGATAATGTTTGGTATGGGTCTGCCCCGCCCCTCACCCACCCTCCCACTGGGCTCTCATGAAAATTCTGAGGCTAGCTCCAGCACCTGAGGGGTAAAGACCTCTGAATCCCACCTCTTCACCCTTCCCCACCTGACAGCTCCATTTCACACACACAGGATGCTGAGGTCCAGGGATATGGGAGCCTGGCTGGCAAGGCTGCCCAGAGCCTGATGGTGTGGCCCCCATTTATTGCACTGCTTTGTCACTCACAGGGGAAGCAAATCCCCTTAAAGTCCCACTTTGGTCCCAGCGGACATCTCATCCTTAGGTCACCAGTCAGCCTTGCCCGCCCTGAGTACTCAGTAGCCAGCAGGCTCCCCGCCTTTCCTGGAATCTGAGGCAGCTGCCCAGCCACCAGCCGTGTGGACAATGGCCTGTACCACAGCGATGAAGTTGGAAGTGACCTCAGCGTGGTGGTGCCGGGTCTTCAGGGCTGCAACCACCGCCTGGAGGTGGGAGGGGATAGAGAGGCCTCAGCAGGGCCCAAGATGCCATGTGAACCACACAGACCCACACTGAAACACACAGGTAGTGTCATTTCTGCCCCAGTGGCCAGGAAGAGCAAGTTGGGGGCAGACGGTCCTATTGGGTCTCACCGGAGCAGGTAGACTGACTCATATCCCACAGGGGTTCAAGATGGCCCAGGCAGTAGGTGTGAAGGTATCTGCCCCAGGCAGAGGGGCAGTCTACTCCATGATGACTCAGGAGATCCAGGCCTCCCTCCCAGGACACCTTGTGACCCCCACCTTGTGACTATTTCTTTGACTCTTTACCCACCTGGTCAGTGTCTTTCTCCAGGGTCGTGGTGTTAGGCAGAAGCTGGTTGTGCAGTCGGGGCTCCTCTACTGCCCGCTTCACATCGTAGCCAAACCACAGGCTATGGATGATGGCCTAGGGTGGCGGGGGGGGGGGGGGGCGGGGAGGGGGTCAGTGTGGTCCAGGGACAGGGGCTGGGGGGATAAATGGGTGATACCTACCAGCGCAGTGGCTGTGGTGATTTTCGTGCCCCCGGAGGCACCCACCACCATGCGGACCTGGCCATCCCGGCCCACGATGATCGCTGGACACATGGATGAGAGTGGCTGCTTCCCTGTGATCACCAGGTGGATGGGTGGGGACAGAGATACTGGTCAGCTGCCTGCCCAGGACACCAGCCCTCTCCCCACCTGAGCCCCCTGCCCCACACCTGGTTTGATGAAGTTGGCTGGTGAGGGGGGCACCCCGAACTGGTTGGTGATGTTGGGGGAGCTGAAGTCATCCATTTCATCATTGAAGAGGATCCCACTGACCCGTGATCGTACCTTAGAACCGAAGCTGAAGACCAGCTGAGTCAGCCAGCTATGGAGAACCCAGCCCCACCCTGCCCAGCCCCTACCCACCCCCCAAAGCTCCAGCTCTCTCCCGGTGAGGCTGAGGGTACATGTTCTACCAAGGTGGGGCCTCAGTTCCCACCATGAAAGAGGTCGATGGAGCCCCCTTCTAGGACATGCAAGCAGCCCCCAGACCACCCAGGTCACCCGGCAGCCCCTACTAGAGGTTGATGGTGCTGGTGGCCGACACAGCGCTGCCGTCCTCTGCGACCACGGACAGGTGGGCAGTGCCACCATCATCAGGCGTGTAGAACTCAGGCTCATAGTAGGGGAACGGGTGAGTGGTATCATCAGAGATCCGGGCCCGGAGCTGGGCGGCAAAGAACTCGGAGCTCATGTTGCGGACCACCTGCCGAGACCCCAGAGCTGGCCTGAGGAGGTGGGGGGGGGGTGGGGAGGGGGCACAGGCTTGTGCGAGCAGCTCTTGGGAAGCCCCCAACATGGCCCTGACCACAACCCTCCTGCACCCTCAACATCACATGGCCCTCTGATCCCCTCTTTCCAGCCTTTGTACTGCAGTCCAGAAATTCAGTATTTATCTGTCCACCCACAACACCCCACTCTTGCAGCATTCAATCATTCATTCATTCATGGAGCTTGTGCTGTGTGCTTGGATCAACAGGGAACAGACGTACAGATCCCAGCCCTCCTGGCAGGGAAGACCAAGTCAGGCAGGGACATGTTGGAAAGAACAAGCCAGGTAAAGGGGATAGGGAGGGATAAGGTGGGGACCAAGTGGTCAGGGAGGGCTTCTCAGAAGAGGTGGTATCTGAAAAGAGCTGTGAATATGGCCTGAGTGATAAAATGCAAAGGCCCTGAGGCAGGCCTGGAGTGATAGAGGGTGAATAGGGTCAAGGTGGTAGAAAATGTCAACAGGGGCTGATCCTATAAGTCTTCATAAGCCCTATAAGGACTTTGGCTTTTGCTCTGAGCCACCTGGTCCTGGGACAGAAGAGTGACCACACTGGTGAGTCACAGGACCCCTCTGGCAGCTATGTGAAGGTATAAGGGTAGAACCCAACTGGGAGGCTATGACATCAAACATCAACCATGTGAGAGATGGTAGCTGGCCCAGCTGGGAGAGAATCAATGGCCCCAGTGTCTTCAATCCAGAGTGCCCATTAGCTGAGGAGATGAACACTGCAGATGGCCAGTGTAGGAGACAGTCAAGAGCTTGATTTTGAACAGGTGCCCTTGGGACCCTGAAGAGCCTGTCTCAGGTGGGTGGTAGACCTACATGTGGGCAAGATCAGGCTGAGGGATAAACATGGAGCCATTAGCTTCTGGTGGCTGCTTAAAGCCATGAGTCTGGGGGCACCTGGGTGGCTCAGTTGGTTGAGCATCTGACTCTTCATTTGTGGCTCAGGTCATGATTCCAGGGTCATGGGATTGAGCCCTGCATCGGGTTCTGTGCTGAGCACGGAGTTTGCTTAAGATTCTCCCTCTCTCTCTCTCTCTCTCTCTGTCCCTCTCCCCAGCTTGTGTGCTCTAAAAAAAAACACAAGCAAAAAAACAAAAACAAAAACAAAACAAACAAACAAACAAAAACTTTAAAAAAAAAGCCATGACCCTGAATAGGGTCCCCACAGTGATGAGGACAGAGAAAGAGGAGAGTAGATGAGACAGGAGCCAACAAGGAAGGCCCCTGGGGACTAAGCAAAGGAAATGCCTCCAGAATTTTCCAGTAACATCCCACAGGGAAAATGTTCAGCCTGAATCTACTCCTAAGAAAACACAAAGTCAAATCCAGGATGTGGAGTGATTCTGCAAGATGACTGCCTTGGGCTTTAAAAATCAGCAAAAGAGCCAAGAGGCCTAGTGTAGGCTCAGAAACCAGAGGGACATAAACAGCAACTGTAAGGTATGAGTTGGATGGGCTCTGGACCTAACAATCCTGGAACTGTTGGGAATACAGGTATCTAACAGGTCAAGTCCTCTCAATGTCAGGGAATAGGAGTCCTCAGTTTTAGGAGCGACAACCCAAAGTGTGATATCAGTGACTGACCATCTGATACCCCAAAAAACACATGCATATTGATAAAGGGGTAGATGGAGGCAGAGAGAGAGGAAGGAAATGTGGCAAAAGCCTACAACTTTGCAAAATGAAAAGCTGAGCAAAGGAGGTGGTAAACTGTGTGAGATGCTGCAGTAGGGTGCCCAAAGGGGAAACTGAGGCTGGACTCAGGGGGCAGGGTGAGGGGTCATGGTGGGGGGTGGTGGTGGAGCAAGAAGGGCACAGCCTGATGGGAGAGGACTTGAGAAAGGGACAAAGTGGCCAAGTTTGCTCTGAGCAGAAGCCAAGGAATGGGGTCAGCAGCTGAAGGTTCTGAAGCAACAAGAGTATGATTCTCGCTCCAGAATGATCTGTCTGAAAGGACAGACTGGGAACGCCAGAGGCAGAGCAGTGTTGCAGGAGAGACTTGCCGAGTCAGCAAGTGCATGAGCAGAGGAGCTGGCCTTAGCCAGGCCAAATGGCAGATAGGGGTGCGATACAGCAGCCTCAGGGATATGAGACACCGGGTCACCGGCTGCAGTCGGGAGTAGTACAAAATGCTCATTGGGGAAAAAAAAGAGATCCGGGAAAGCAGAGAGGCTGCTGGGCAGCTGAGAGGCACAGGCCAGTGTGAGGGAATCTGCAGGTCTACCGCGGAATGGGTGATCCGAGTAGGTAAGGAGGGCGGTGATGGGAGTCTTGATGGAGGCCCAGCCTGGATCTGGCAGTGAGTGGGTTGGACTGTGCAGGATCCGGGTAGGGCCTAGGACACATTAGCTCCTGGGTGTGACCACAGAACCAGTGGCCGAGGCCCAGAGCATTGCTCCTCTCCCCCTCAGCCATCCTCCTCATTACCCTTGAGGGTTGCAACGTCCCCATGCATTCCCCACCTCAGCACCGAACACTCCAAACCCTTCCAGGACAAGGGTACAGCCCCCAAGGTGGGAGCACAGACACAGGTAGGGGACACTAATTACTCATTGTCAAGTCTGTCATACTGTGAGCTCCGTGTGGCAGAGGGCCAAACTCGGGCGTCACCAGGCCATCCCAGCACATGGTAGGTCCACCACCAAAGTTGGTGGTGAAAGCATGCATGAGGCTGGGGTGGTCCCAGGAAGCCCTCCTCACACATCCATGGCAGGCCCTCCCGCACCCATCACGGGCCACCCCCTGCCTCTTACCTCCATCATATTGACAAACTTGGGGTCCCCAAGCAGGGTCCTCTTGGCATAGGCAAACCGGAAGGCCTCCACGATGCGGTGGTAGGTGAGACCCTTCTGTTCGGGTGTCTCCACACTCGCTGGGGAGAAGTTGTACCCTGGTTGAGCAGAGATGGGGGCATGTTAGCAGTCCCGGGGCCCTCTGCCGAGACAGCTGGGTGCCCCAGGGTAGGCTCACACCTCCCTGAATCACTTGGCCCAACTTGAGAAGGGAAATGCGTAATAAAAACCAGTGGACACTTTGGAGGAATGTAAGAATGGAATGAGTAAGGGACCCCTGGGCCTGGGATGACCACTTAGATTTACCAGATGCGTCCTCTGGACCAGCATGGCTATTCCCACCCCAGGACACTGCTCTGTACCTTTTTAGCTCCCAACCATTCCTCCTCCTCCTCCAGCCCCTGATCTTCGCCTCTCACAGCCCTGGTCACTCTGCACCGCCTCTTGCGGAGCCACGGTGGGAGGGCTCACCCTTGAGGATGTTGAGGATGAGAGCCAGCACCGGCCCACTGAGTGGGGCACTGGGCACATAGAGCTGGGCGTCCCCGAGGCTGATGTTCAGTGGCTGCTCTATCAGCTCAGCACGGTAGTTGTTCAGGTCCTCGGTGGTCATAATGCCCCCTGCAATGAGACAGCAGCTCAATGGGTGGACACAGGGATGGGGCCCCCAATCTGAGGGGAGCACAGCACCATCACGCTGAAAGCCCTGCCCACTCTTGAGGGCCCTCCTCCTCCCCCTCCCCACTGCCCCATCTGCCAGTCCCTCTGTGCTCCCTGATGATACCACCTCTCCACTGCCAGGCTCAGGCCATCTGCCCTCTATCTGTTTGCCCCACTGGCCTCCAGGTCTGCCTTCTCTCCTCTTGGCGGCCAGAGAGTCTTCTCTAAGTGGAAAGTATCTGCTCCCATCTCTCCCCTGCTCAGTCCCATCCTCCAGTGACTACTAATAGGTGGGTGAAAGGAGGCTCTTTAATTCTACAGGGAACTGGCTCCAGAAAGACCAAGTATTTATAGGCTAATTTCCTGCCTCAGTGGTAAAGGTCAACTTGCTAATCACTCTCTTCTGTGTCTCTGACAAAAATAACAGCAGGAAGAAATCCACAGCTGGGGAGGGAGAGGCAGCACCAGGCTTCTTGGCTGAAAGTCATGAGAACTTGTCTCTGCTTGCAGCCCCTCCAGTGCCTCTCTCACCAAGCCCACGCTCATCCACTGTGACCCTCAGGGATAACTAAAGCTCATCCTCTCTGGGCCTTAGCCTATTCCCTCTGCCAGGAAGGCTCTTCCTCTCCCCAAGCTCATCTGTAGCTCAGGTACCACCTCCTGCTTGGGGAAGTCCCCTCAGATCTGCATTTCAATGCTTCCTCAGCTCCAGTTCCAGCCTAGACCTTCATTTAACTTACAGAGGACTTTCCCTCGTGAACTGCACTGGTCTCTCAGTTTTGACCTAACCAAGATCTATGGATCTATGTGGCCTGTCACTGACTGCAGACATGTCTGTGACCCCCCCTCCCCCCCAGCTCCAGGCACTGCCCGAGGGCCCAATGCCCAGGTCGGGCAGGAGCAGAGGACCTAAGTCCTCTGAGCTCTGGCTCAGAGCTCCTGCTGCTGAGTTCCTTGCCTAGGGTCCCTGAGGTTGCCCACTTACCAGCCTCCTGGATGTCCTTGACAATCTGGGCTGTGAGGCTCCCGTTGTAGAAGGCCTGGGCTCCCTCCAAGGCCAGCGTCTCGTACGTGTTGGCCAGCTGCGGCATGGTCAGTCTGTCCCCCTCCCGCAGCACCTTCCCATCCCGGCAGAACACCTCACTGGGGCAGAGGGGCTCCCGTGAGGCAGGCAGGCAGGGTGGATTCGGCCAGCCATTCCCACCCAACCACACAGGAGATCAAAGGAAGGGCAGTGAGCTCCTGTCCACAGGTGAGTCATCCTCTGGTGTCCAGCCAATGCTTCCTAGAGTCCCTTGCCACTCAGGACTCACAAGCCGGGACCCCAGGCACCAGGCTCAGAATGTGATCCCACACACATTGGGAAAGGCTTTTATATCCTAGACCTCATCCCTCTGCCAGTCATTCATGGCATGCAGGGACCTTGGGCCACATCTGCCCAGCCTGTGCCCCAGGGCAGGCCAGCACCCACAGACATACCACAGTGCAGGCTGTTCCTCGATGACAGCCCTGTCTTTCTCCAGGGCTGCCGCCAAGCCCTTCCCCACAGGGAAGCCCTGGCGGGCCAGCTGGATGCTGGGCTGAAAGAGGTGAGCCCAGGGCAGCCGCCCATGCCGCTGGTGGGCCAACTCATAGCCTCGGATCTCACCGGGAACTGCCACCGACAGCCCCCCTGCAGAGGGACAGGAAGACAGTTAGTGGCTCCAGTCAGGGGACATCAGGAGGGGTGTTCTCCCTCAGCAGCAACCTAGGCACAGTCTCCAGATGGGATCAGTGAGGTTTAGGAAGGAAATGGAATTGTCATATGTGGACTCCGCTGGCAAGAGTGTAGATTGGCCAGGGATATGTGACAAGGCCACAGTCCTGCTGTCCCAGGACTAGATGTCTGCCTCTGCAGGTGCTACCAGGTTTGAAATCCTGTGCCAGGCCCACAGTTGCACAACAAGACTGTGGGGAAGCCAGACCCTTACCATCTCTTAGTCTGAGCCTCCTAGCCCACAAGGCCTCTCATCCCATAAGACTCAAGGGGTCCACCGGAACCCACCAAAGTCCCCAGGGCAAGCCCAGGCCACCCTCGATACTGAGCCAGTTCCAAGGCAAGGCCTCTACCTTCCTCCCTTCTACTGTCCCAGACCCAGGACCTGAGCCCGACTCCCTGCCCTATATGTACCCTCACTGGGTTTCAGTTTCCCCATCTGACCATAAAGAGTTTTGTCTCTTGCAGCTGACTTTAGAGGAGCCCACAATTCCACTGGAAACAGACTCCTGGACCCTGCTCCCCACCCACCCCATGGCCCACTATGCCCTAAGCTGGGCACTGATACAGAAAGGCCCTTGCTCCCAGACACCTTCTTGCTTTCACCCCTGGATGACCAGGGCCATTTCAGCTACACTCAGGCTAGGTGACTGCAGCTCTGGAACTACCTCTCCCATCCTGAGGTTGGGCACAAGGTTCTGAGAGCCAGGTTGTTATGGTCTGTATGTCTGCACATTTCAGAAGGTCTGACACCCGGCCCATGATTCCTGCCACCTTAAAAAAAAATGCTGCCCTGATCTTGGGCTAATAGGTCTCAGACCACCCTGCTAACCAAGGTGCAGTGACCCCCACACTGCCAGACCAGGGTCCTCTCTCAACTTTACCTTACTTAGCCCGTCACTCCTCCAGTGTCACCTCTGCATCCCACATGCGAGGCTCTGTTAGGGTCTCCTCTGTCTACACTCACCGTATTGGTGACCTCCCCCAGATCAGGGCTTCAAATTTCATGTATGTGCTGCCAGTTCTAAATTTACTCTCTGGCCTGGCCTGCTCCCCCGATGGCCTGATCTGAGGATGCACCTGCCCATGAGAAAGGCATCTCAAACTTAACACACTCAAAACCCAACTCCGGACTGTCACCCAAACCCACTGCCCCACAGCCTTGCTGGCCTCTGTTAGGGGCACCCCATGCTTCCAGGTGCAGATCAAAGACCAGGGGTCATCCAGGACTCTTGGTATAGGAGTTGGTGTCACACCCGACCTCTCAGCAAATGCACAGGCTCCACCTTCTAGGTATGTTGAATACCAACCACCTCCCAACACCCTCATCTCTCCGTGGTCATCGTGGTGACCTCCTGACGGGTCACCTGATGGGCAGACAGCTTGCTCCCTGCCCCTTCTGCAGCTGCCCAAGGGGTTCAGCCAGACATAGGCCAGATCTACCCCCACAAACACCCCAGGGGCCACTGCTACCTCTCTTGGACAAGAGACAGGGTCTTCACAATGACCCATAAGGTCTGACACCACCTGAGCCATTCTGACCCTGGGGTCGCCCATTGCAGCCTTGCTAGTTCCCACAGTTCTCTGTCCCATCTTCCCATGTGGGTCACTTGCTCTTCCCCCAGACACCTGCACAGCTATCCTCACCCACTCCAGACCCTGGGTCTTTGCCCAGACACCTCCCCCGTGACCAGGCTACACTTGGTGAACTGCACGCCTTCCAGCCCTTCCCACCTCTGCTGTTCTGGTACCACCTGGCTTGGCTGGGCCACGGATTTTATCTGTTGCCTTTGTTTTGTCCCCAGGCTTGGGGAACAACCCCTGACATTTTAAGAGATTCCCAATAAGTCCTCGTTAAATAAGTGAATTCCGAGCATCCACAAGGTGCTAAGTCTGTAAGATTCCAGCAATCACACTGAATGATTTCATTTCTACACATTCTGAGTCTCCCAGGGGATATAAAAATTCAAAGAGGCTGTATGTTGGAGGAGACTCCAACGGGGCTGCTCACAGGGCCTCACCCAGGGCCCTGGCCCGAGGGGCAGAGCCTGCAACTGGGGATCAGACCTGCTATGGCCAACAGCCCCCTCCTCCTGCCTCTAATCTCCTATCCTGTTTTCCTCCTATCCTCCTTTTGGGTCCTTGGAGCAGCAACCCCTGCTGGCCACTGGCTTCCCCTCAACTGCATGGGGAGGTTGGGGGCCTCTTCTCTGCATGAAGGCCTTGTTAAAAAGATAGACTCGACTGCGTTTTTGGAGCTATCTCCACAAAATGAACGAATAAATGAAAGTCTTGGATGCCTTTGAAAAATTCAGGACTTTGACAGCCCAGGTTCAATTTGGGCCTCAGCACCATCCAGCTGTGTGACCTCAGTTGGTTTGCATGACCTCTCTGGACCTATAAAATAAGAATCAACACAGCACTCCCCCTGACTCCCAAGCATACAGGGAGGATTCAAGGGGCCCACTGGTGAAAACAGCTAAGCAGCATGCTGGCCCCAGTGCCCCCTGATAGGTGCAAACTGTTGAAATAATAATTATTCTCTCCATGCCCTAGCACCCTGGAGAGGCCTGAGTGGAAATAACAGAAGCTCCATGTCTTCACCCTCGGGAGGGTGTTGTCGGGCCAGGAAGGGTTGGATGGGAAGGGTGCACATCAGCACTGCCAGAACTGTCCCCAGCACCAGACAGGGGCATGCCCATGCCTTCCCGGCAGCTCACCCCAGCTCTGCACCCACACCTGAACTTGCACCTCACCTTTCTGTGACTGCTCCGGGCTGTTGAACATGCCTTCGGAGGCCAGCCCAGGGGCCACCTCACGGGCGTTGATGATCTCAACTTTTCCTAGAAGGAGAAGAAGGTGGGCAGTCCGGACCAACACCAACCCCTCACCCCGTGTGAGCCCAGGGGCCACCCGGCTCTGCTTGCCCCCAGCCCACGTCCAGCCTGAGATGGACAGCCCCTGCCAATTACCTCCCCTACTCCCCGTGGGCACTCACGCGTGGTGCTGTTGTAGATGGTGAGGAACAGGCCGCCCCCGATGCCCATGCTGTGGGCGTTCATGAGCCCCACACACAGCAGGGCCGCAATGGCAGCATCCACCGCCGAGCCACCGTCCCTCAGCATGTCCCTACCGGCAGCAGGTGGTGGGGAGTGAGCACCTGCGGGCTCCCCAACCCCCCCAACACATGCACACTGCCACCCAACTCCACCCTTTCTGGCCACACTGCCCAAAGGAGGATGGAAGAGGAAACTGTAGTTTTGGTTTTTACATGTCACTCTAAGACCAATGGGCTTATATGTTCTTCCTTTCAAGCAAACAGATGTGCATGACGTTTATAATAGAAAGAAAACAGAAAAACGTTACTTTTTATTAGCAACCTTTTTTGTCTGTTTACGTCTTTTGGGAACTGGTCTTTGTACATAATGTGAGATAGGGGTCTAAAATAGCATAAAACAGCAGTTTATCCAAAGGCACAGAGATCGGAGGAAAGGGACCCAGGGCACCAGGAAATCCACATCCTGCTCTTGGAGTCAGTGTCCCCTTCTGCCCTGACCAGAGGCTGCTGTGGAGGTCCAAGGAAAGGACAGGCAGCTCCATGTGCATCAGACACCCCTTGTCCGGGTAGCTCATGTACAGACAGGGAAACTGAGTCTCAGAGGGATGAGGATCTTGCCCAGATCCACTTCCGGTGGTCCTCCTGTATTCCCACGCCCTGCCTGCTCACCTCCCGATCTCTGAGCAATACTTGGCATCTGTGGCCACAGCTGCCCTGGGGTAGACGTGACTCTGTGGCTTGGAGGTCAAGAGCAGGCAAAGGCACAGGATGATGATGAAGATCACTAGGACCACGGCCAGCAGGGCCAGCACCACATACCGCTTCTTCATGGCTCTGCAAGTACCTGTTGTTTGGGGTCAGGGGAGAGGGCTGGTGGTTAACAGGGTCAGGGGACTGCCACTGGCCTGGCCTTGGGCACATCCTGACCCTCACCACACAGGGCACAGCCAATAGTCAAGCCTCAGAAACATGTCCCTGGGGGCACCTAGGTGGCTCAGTCGGTTAGGCTTCCAACTTCGGCTCGGGTCATGATCTCACCATTCATGAGTTCTAGCCCCGCATGGGGCTCTGTGCTGACAGCTCAGAGCCTGGAGCCTGCTTCAGATTCTGTGTCTCCCTCTCTCTCTGCCCCTCCCCCGCTCATACTCTGTGTGTGTGTCTCTCTTTCTCAAAAATAAATAAACATTAAAAAAAATTTTTTAAAGAAAAAAATATGTCCCTTTGTTTCCTTCCAGCCCCCGGCCACTTACTCTGCCAGAAACTCCCAGCCCCATCTCTCCCTTCCTAAATTGCCCTGCTTATCCTCAAGGCCCCATCCCAGTAAAGACCCCATGTCCAAAAGAAATCTCTCCTGGGAGCCCCCAGATTCCATGTGTCCCACAGTCAGAGCCACTGCCAAGCAGGGAACTCCACCGGGAACAAGCTTGGCCTGATCCCTTCTGTGACCCCCCACCTCAGCCCAGAGCCAGACACCATCCATGGGCCCCCAGAGTGGCCTGCCACAGACCGTGGGGTTCGGCTTCCATTGTACCCTCAAAAAGGACACCCACAATCTCCTTGTAAAATTGTCAGACAAGCTGCCATGGGGCAGGGGCCTACCTTTCTCAGCGGATGGAAGCCCCACACCTTGCCTGGGGAGGTGGCCACAAAAGCCGGGAGGGCTTGGCTGAAACAGCTAAGGAAATAACTGGGGTCTCCCTCACAGACAGTAGGAGATGGTGTCCGCAGAATCTGCTCCAGACAGACACCTCGATCAGGCAGCCTCTTTGCTCTCCTGAAAATCAAGATAGTGTACCTGAAACAGGCCTCACCAGGGAGGTCCTCCCCAGGGAGCTCTGTGAGGTTCCTCTGACCCAGATGAACTCTGGAGTCGAAGAGGAGGCTGTCCGACTCTCCCACATTTGTGTGAAATCTCCAGGCACAGCCGAGAGGGGGTTTGCCCAGAGCAAGGCCCGAGTTCGGTGGTATGAGTGTCATATGACAAAGTGGTGAAGCCCACGTGGGCCAGGCCAAGGAGACGGGGTATGCAGGCTCTCAAGCCAGCTCGTCCCATCTGAGTCTTGCCCCTCGTCTGATGTGGGGCCTTGGGCAAGTCACTGACTACCTGTCCAGTGGGAATGACAGAGGCATCCTGCTTGGGGATGTTGTAGAAATGAAGTGGATTGGAAAGCGTGAAGTGCTAGGTGAGTGTTGGCTATAAATGCCATCAGCTAGTAGGGTGACACCCTGGAGGCCGGCGGTGCAGAAGGAAGCTGGTCAGCCACCTGCTCACTGTTTCCCTGTTGACTCCTTTCCAGGCCATGCAGGGAGGGACAGCAGTGAGCCTTTGGGCTCCTGTGGCGGTGACAGCGGACAAGGGGTGTGACCCCCACAAGGAAGGAGAGGTGTGAGGACAGTGGCAATCTCCGTTACCTCCGAAAGGTGAGTGTCAGCCAATAAGCCCCAGGCTGGGATGCCTCTGGTTCACCTCGTCTCTGTTCAGGGGTCTGAGCTCCAGGGCCAGACACAGTGTCCCAGAGATGGTCTAGGAGTGGAGTCTCACTTGCACGGAGCCTGGGAGGGGATAGCCCTCCCACATGGGGGGGCCTCCAGAAGCCAGCATGGAAGGGCTTTCCCCTCCCAGGCTCAGTGGGCAGCCACATAGCAGACCACCACCCTACGTCCCCAGTGGGATTCAAGCCAGCCTTTCTTCTCCATGTTGACTGAATCCAGGCACCACCCTTTGAAAGCTGGACTATAGAGCCTCCTCCCTGCACTCCCTCCTGTCAGTATCACCTGGTCCTCAGTCCTCCAAAAAGCAGCAGAAGGCTCTCTCCAAAGTGCCAACCAGGACTTTCCCCCTACCACTGCTCCAGGGGATAGTCTATGCCCCCGGAGCACACCCTAGAGGCTGGGTCAGGGTTAAGGATTCCCAACAGAGATAGCTATGCTGGGAGGTGTGAGGGGCCTTGGGAGCTGGGCCAGGAACATGTGGGGTCTGTTTCCAGACACAGAACTTTCCCAGCACATGTGGTGGGGGTGGGTGGGGCAGGACAGAAACCAGTGACTCTCTTCCCAGCATGGGCACAGGCACACTTGCCAAGGAGGCCCCCCAGTCCTTGCCCATGGGACACCTTGGGGACATTGTCTCATTTTTCCTGGGCTTGTGGCTGTGAGGTGAGACCACCCCCCTCACGGCCCTCCTTTCTCCCCTCAGGCCCCTGTGGTGATCCAGACATGACTTCCTAAAGTCTGTACTCCAGCCTCCCCTGTCCATCCATCTGTTCGTCCATCCATCCATCTACCCAAGGACCCAAGTGGGCTTCCAGAGGGACAGGGGGCACCCAGCAAGGTTCAGACTGCCAGGGAGTATGGGGAGGGGTGGGCAGTACTGACCCCCATCCCACCTCCCTGGCCAGGGCAGCAAAGACACCAGCCCAGACCCTGCAAGCAGACATCACCAGCCCTGCGGAAGACACCCTGCTGGGGACTGGGCTTCCGTTTCCCAACCCCCCCCCCCCCCACACACACACCCCACATTTTTCCCAAAGACTCACTAAAAGAATGTCCAAGCCCAGAGGTCTGGCTCTCACCCAAATCAGTGTCAGGAAGGGAAACTGAGGCCAGAGAGTAGGTGGGGCACAGCACTTGGCCTCAAACTCCCACACCACTCCTCATGACCCTTGTGGGCTTACCTGAGGCCCGGAGCTGGCAGGGGCCCAGGAAAGCTCCTGGTCCTCGGAAGAAGCTCTAGGCTGGGACACGGCCAGATTTGTCTGCCTGGGAAAATCTGGGCCACAGCTTCAGCCGAACCCCCCCCCCCCATTCCTAGGAGTGGCCCAGAGCCACGCCTGCAGCCCCTGCAGAGCTCCTCAGGGTGCCTCTGAACTGGGATTGGGATCTGGGGGAGGGCACCTCCAAGGAGGAGCAGAGACAAGAAAGGGGCAGGAGAAGGCAGAACTCTCATGCTCACCTAGTCCCAGAGCAGGCAAGAAGCTGGCTGGGAGTCACTCAGCAACCCCATGGGACCGTTGAAAGTGTCTAAGCAGGGTGGAGAGCAGGCTGTCCTCTAAAAGGTCCAGTCTGACAGGGAGGACAGCCCCAGGGGCTGACATTGAGGAAGCAAGGAGACACAGTGACTTGGCCTGTCAGCAGATGACTAAAGTTCACACAACTCTGGGAGGGCCCTGGGTAGGAGATGGGAGGTGTTATGACAGCATGACTTCTGGGGTCCCCAAGGCAGTGGCAGCAGGTGAGGGGTGTGACCCCAACAGGGAAAGAGAGGTGTGGTGCCAGGGGCAAGGAGTCCCCCTCTCTTGGACACAGTTCTCTCCAAAGGGCAGGGTCTCCTGGCGAACACCCCTCCAGCAAGCCCCAGGCTGGGTACACCCCACCCCTGTCAAAGTGTCTGAACTCCAGGGCCAAACACAATGTCCCAGAGATGGTTCCTGAGGCAACGCAGCAGAGGTGCCACCAGCACCAGACCAGAACCAGGACCTGAGAGCCCTCACCACAGCCCTCAAGCAGATGCCAAGGGTGCCTTCCTGGAACACAGCCTGGGGCCTCGCGTCCAGACCGGTTCCACCGCCTATCCGGGAATGTCAGCACCTCGGGCCCAAGAACCCCCCTGAGCAGCCTGGAAAGGCAGGGCCCGGACCACGCCAGAGCTGGTTCAAGCCACGCAGCCCAACAGTGCACACCTGGCCACTTGATACCCGCACCCAAGTTCCTGCATGTCCCTGACCGGGCCAACAAGGAGATCTCAAGCCAGGAGTAGGTGCATGCCCAGCCCAGGGACCTTGGACGCTGCTTTCCATCCCCCTTTGGCCTCCATGTGCCAAGAATAAGGATCAGCCACTCCCTGAGTCATTGCTCCATCCCTAGCTTCCTTGCTAGTTGTATCTAGGCTGCCCAGGAGCCCCCACTGTCCCTATCTGTAACACCTCAGCTATGACCACCCTGCAAGGCTGTGGCAGCTGACAGACAGGAAGAGCTATAGAGGTCTCATTGCCCCTACGGAGTATTGCTGCACACTCTGGGTCGCACAGTCAAAACAGGCCTTGTCTTGTTACCCACTGCCCTTGAACAGGCTTGGGATGGAATCCACCGGACAAATGCACTCCCATGAAATCTTCCATGGCCCCGGGACGGGGCGCCATGACTCAGCTCTTTTCCCCTGGACATCACCTGCAGACCAGGGTGACTGAGAAGATGGACAGGGCAGGCTCCAGGGACCAAGGCCCATAACCTGTCCCTGAGGGCTAGCCACCAGCCAGGATGTCAGGGGATTTGTGTTGCAGGCCAGTCAGCCGGCAGGGGTCTAGAGTGGAGAGACACAGGGCTCTGTCCCTAGCCTAAGCCTGCTTAGCCACTTCCTCCTCGCCTGGGAAGGCATAAGACATGGCAGTGTCAGCAGCAGCTCGAGGGTAGGAAGAAAGTCTGAGCGGGCAGAGGATGGCCCCACCCAACAGGGATCCCAGTAGGGTCCCAACAGGAAAACCGCATCCTGGGGCAAGGTGAGGGACCAAACACTGCGACGGAGCACAGATGAAGCCTAGCAGCAGCTGCAGGCCCCAGAGAGGAGAGTCCGGAGGAAAGGTATCTCATTAAAGGCTGTGTCAACAAACGCCTGAGGTACAGAACCAAGAACCTTCCTTACGTGGTGAGCGTGTCACGTTTTATTCTGGTCAGCCCCCCAACCCCTACATGCTGAAAAGCGACCTGAGGGGAGTCAGTCTGGGGAAACCATGCCACCCTAGAAAAGGCTGCAGGGGCTGGGCTGAAGAGTCTCCTCCAGACCCCATGGCTCCTGTCCTAGGCACAGAAGATGGTAAGCTCCCCGTCCCCAGGAATGTGCAAGCCTCACCCACCAGAGATACTGACTTTGCCATCAGCACCAGCCCCTCCCAGTACACACACACACACAAAGCTGAACCTAGGCTGAGTGGAACAGGTTCCTAGGATGCATCAGAGAGCGGAGCATGAGGAAGCCTAAGGATTCTCTGTTAATCCTCCAACCCATTTGTCACCTGGCTGTGTCACCACCACTTCAGAACCACAGTCCTGGTGCACGGTCCTAGACCCATTCACAGACAGGAAACCAAGGCTTAGGTTGAAGCAACTTGCGCAAGTTCAGCTGGCCCCCGAGGGAGACATGTGGACCAGCAGGTGGGCCCAGAACCCATGCCCCTGGCCCTAACACCACCAGCATCAAGGAATCGTCCCCATCGCTGACCCCAGGCATGAGAACATAGCTCTCAGCAGCTTCCTGAGCCCTGCCCGCCACTGGACTGGAAGCTTACCATTACCCAGGCCTGGATTTGGGATCTGTCTCCCTTGCTGCCCACCCTGGTGGCATAAGGTTGAGAATTAGAAAAAAGTCACCTTCCCCAGTACTTGATAACCGCCATGCCAGATACCTGTTGAAATAGCTAGGCATGCCTGCAATGACCACAAGGTGGTGGGCACCCCCTAGAGTTGTGCAATGACCCTTGCACAACTGAGCCAGTTTCAGGCCCCACCATAGCCACAAACCAGATCCTGGAAAGGGGCAAGCATGGCCAGAGGACCCAGCACCTCAGCCCCCATCATGGGTCCCCTACCCCCATGCTGCCAGATCCTCCTGGGCCTCAGTTTCCCCATGCTGCACCCCTCCCACTTAATTCCAAAGTGTCCCCTTCTTTAGAGCAGTCCAGCAGTTCCACCCGGCCCTCCTCCACCCACCCCACACCTGTGACACAGTGAGCCAGACAGCTTGGACAGGTAGTTTCAACCCCCCTAACCAGACAATAAAAAATCCGAGGCCTCTCCAGCCTGGACCCAGTCTGTGCAGCCCCTCTTCAGGGTCCATTCACACAAGCCCTGTCCCCTTCACCCTGAAGGTCCGCTCACTCCCATTACGCAGGTATATAAACTAAGGCTCCAGTCTCTCCAGAGGAAGAGGCCAGCACATGGCAGAGCTGGGACTGGAACCCAGGCTTCCAGACAGATGCTTCTGGGAGGACCTAGCCTGAGCTACCCCAACCTACAATGTGCAGCAGCTCAGAAAGAATGAGCTGTACTTTGGGGTCACACAGCACTGAGGCACAGCCTGATGCCCCTCCTGGCTCACCTGGCTCTACGCTGGTCCTCCTGCTGCTCTCCAGCACAGGGCTGAGTCCCCAGTGCCCCGCTCTGACCCAGCTCCTCCCCTCCTTCCCCCTGCAGCCTGAGTGGAGGGAGGCTTTAAAGGCACAGGAACCTTTCCAGGTGAGAAGAGGGCTGGCTCCTAGCCCTGTCTCTGGGGCTGTGTGACCTGGGACAGCTGCTGGCCTCTTTGAGTCCCGTAAGATCCCCAATCCTGAATGAGAGACCTGAGCTTTGAAGCCTCCGTGGTGCTGAATGAGGCTAGGTTTCAGGCAGAGGTAGGTCAGGCCAGGGGCCCCTGGGAGGAGGTGGGACCCCTCAACTTACAATGTCTAGAGCAGGTTCACGTGGTGCTGGGGTGCAGCCAGATGCCCACCCACTGGGGTTGGGAGTGTAAACCTCTGAATCCCCATCAGGCCTGAGGAATCCTACCTACTCCAGAACTCTAGAGTAGGAGATGCTCCTCCAAACATGTCCTCTCCCTGACCCTTGGGGCTACAGGGGGATTATGTAGGGACTGTCACTCCAAAGGCCCTGGCCACCTGGACTGAAGGGAGTTACACGACCCAGGGGAGCCTCTCTTCATCCCTGACATTTCTGGGGTCATGAGCGAGAGGGTTGATGGAGGACACACAGCAGTGAGGGCAGGAGATAGAGTCGTTTGCTCATGCCCCTGCCTACTCTGGCCCATCAAATGAGACAGGGTGGGTGCCTCACAGGGCTGGCAGCCCCAAGACTCCCTGTGTCTGAGATCCACTTGTGGCCTGCTGTCTGCCAGAACTGCCACCACTAGCAGGGCCCTGGCTTCAACACATTTATTCATTCATTCATTCATTCATTCATTCATTCATTCCTGCCTCTAAGCCTGGCCTGTCCAGATTCTCTTCTCAAGGAGCCCCCGGCAGGATTCTAGATGGGCTTAGTATGGCCAGCCAAGGAAGAGGAGGAGCCCAGGGCCCTGGAGGAGAGGCAGACACAGTGACAGGGGCCTTAAGAATCAGGGCAGAGCTGGGATTGGATTGGGTAGGACATGCCAGGTAGAGGGAACCACTTAGCCTGGAAGCTGGCACTCGAGGCATGTCTGGGAGTAGTAAGGGCCTAAGGGAGCCTCTTGACCTCCCTGGGCCCTTCCTGAGCCCTGAGGTGTCAAGGCTAAGACGGGAAGTGGCTGAGCTCAGATCAGACCCTGAAGGCCAAGCCAGTGCATCTGGACTTTGAGAGCCACAGGAGGCTGGTGAATGTGTCACCTGGTTGGGTAACCCATTAACTGCAGCTCACTCATTAAGACCCTGGTGGGTGACCAGAGGGTAAGGGCCGTGGGAAGAAAGGAGTGTTAATGGCTGGGGACTGGCCGAGATGGGTTCTCTGTGTCCTTGTTCCTTGAGGAGTTTCCTGGGCGAGGCTGGCCTCCAGCCAGGGATTGCTGCCAAGGCATCATGGGGTGGGGGTGGGGGTGGGCGAGCGGTGCCACCCCACCATCCTGATGCCTTTTATCTCCTAACCACACATACTATGTAGGCACCAGCAACCTAGGGTACCCCAGGGGTCTTGGTCAGACAGGAGGGAATAGGGGGGCTGGGCACCTGGCCCATCTCCTCCTCTGAAAAATGAGGAACCACAGTGGCCTCCAAGGTCCTTCCTGTTCTGACAGACTCTGGTTTGCCCCAGCTCTGTGTCTGGGAAAACAAGGCATTGGTGGAGGAAGAAGGGTAGTCAAAGGAAACCACGATGTGAGAGAGGAAGGGACTTGCCCAAAGCCATTAGGTAGGACAGTGACCCATGACATGGGGAAGGCCTTGCAAACCACTTCCTGCAAGTAGTACCTCATTGCAGCCTCCATCATGCCCCACCCTGCTGTCACATCCTGGAAGAGGCTCTGCCTGAGCCTCAGGAAGTGCCAGGTGAACCTCCTGCCCCGGGTGGGCCACAGCTGGTAGAGACACAACATCCCAAAATGCAGTCAGGAGCCTCACACTGAGTGAGCCAGGAAGGCAGGTCCAGATGCAGCAGTGCCTGACCTATCCTCCAGAACTGCTGGGACAGGATCTCAGGGCCCACTGGGAGCCAGGAAACCTGATATTACAACAGGCATTTTGTGTCCCCTGGTATCTGCACCAAGGACACATTTGGTAAACTGGCTAAATACAAGTGACTTTGATGCCAAACATCATAGCATCTTAATCAACTTTAGGATCACAGAATCTCAAATGTTTGGTCTCTGATCTCCTGTCTCCAACACCCCAAAAAGGTTGGCTTGCATACTTGCCTTGACAGGGACCTCACTACCTTTAAAGACAGCAAGACTGTGGTTGGTTGGCAAGTTCTTCCCAATGTCAAGCCCAATTTGCCTTCTTGGAATGCCTTCTGCAGTTGTGAGAGTTGACATGCTTTAAGGTGGGCTTGCCTCACTTCCTGCCCACTGTCTGAGGCCACAAGCAGAGGAGCAAGGGCCACCTCAGACCCTGTGGCTACCTGGCCACAGCCTCCCTGAGCCACACAGACCACACTGCCGGGATGGAAGGAAGACTCTAGCTCAGTGAAGAGACTTGTGCTGTCCAGGGGTAGCAGAGAGGCAGAGCCCCTGTGCCCCCAGAGCCTGGCTGCCAGCCCCCAGCACCATCTGAGGCATTTGCCATTGCAGCACCTACCTTTGATGTGTGGAAGAAGGCTGGAGCACTGCCAGCGTGTGGGCCTTCAGAGATGTCAGCTCCTTAACGCCTGAGAATGTCTGGCTGCAGGGCTAGTCTGGCACCTGGTGGACCAAGTCCAACTCCCAAACCCAGAAGCAGGGTAGCAGCACAGCCAAAAGCATGGGCTCAAGAGTTCCTAGGTTCAAATTTGACCCCTGCCACTCATGGCCCAGGGTCTCCTCTTCCTGCCCTCAGCTTTCTATCTGGAAAGCAGGAATCATTAAAATAATTGTTGGGTGGATTCACTGAAATGGCTGTGCACAGGCTATTGTCAGCGCCCGCTATCTCCATGGTTCCCACGCCCAGGCCGGCAGCAGCCTCTGTCCTTGCCTGATGAGCAGCTCAGGGCTAAGAGGTCATAAATGCCCCCCTCCTGCTTGCCCTGCCCTCTCTGCCCACGGCACCCTGAGCAGGTAGCATTTACCATATCACCTGGTAATTATCTGCAGTGTCTGGGAGCTCCAAGGGGTGGAGGAGAAAGGCTGAGCCGTCCATGCCCCAGCCCCCACCCCAGGGTATGGCCTGGTCTTGTCTCCCTCTGAGGGGAGTCACTGGCTGGAACCTGCCTGTCCACACGCCTCTCCACCCCCACCCCCTACTCCCAACCCTCCATGGGTGGTGAGTGGACCTGTGGTTCCCCTAATGCCAAAAAACACCCAGTGCTTCCCCCCCCCCCCCGCCCCCCACAGCCCCGCATGCTCTGCTAGCCCTCCATCCTGGCTTCTCAGAGCCCCCACCCCCTGCCATCTCATTTCTGGGCTTCCTGCACCACTTCAAGCTGAACGCCTTTGCTCTCAGAGTCCTGCTTGCAACATTTTGTGGGCTGATGTTTTAGATGCCTCAGGTCAACATGCCTGCCTAAACCTGAACTAAGTAACAACCGTCCCCATACCTCCACCAACCACATTAGCTTAGCCTGCCTAGCCCCAGAGCCTCCTTCCCAAACTCACTGGTTCCCCAGTGTAGCGGCCTCACCTCCACATCCTCTCCTGGCTGCTCCTGACCCCAGCTCCCCTCACCTGGCAACTCCTCCTCAGGGTCCGCAGCCCCTCCACTGTTTCCCTAAGGTAGCCCCAGTGCTGAGCATACAAATCTGAGCACATCCTCTCTCACTAGAAACCCTTTAAAGGCCCCCTTTGCCCTCCAGATAAATTCCAGTCTTGCTAGGGCCCCACCCCTTCCTCTGTAAAGTTCACCCTATGCTCTCTGCTGAGACTTCAAGCTAGCACTCTTCCTTCAGACCCCAACCTCAAAGCAACCTCTTCCGGAAGCCCTGCCCCTCCTCCTGGTCAGCTCCTGTAGTGCCCTGCAGCCCCCATCAAGGTTCCCCACATCGGTGGAGTAGCTGTTAGATTGACTTCCTGTGTCTTAGTCTCTGCAGTATCCACAGGGCCCAAAAATCAGCACTGAATTGACCAATGAAGGCTGTGGGTGGCTGAGTGGATTCCGTATAAAGCCACGGAAAATCAATTTGTAAAAACACTGCTGTATGCTGGACTTTTGCTTTGTTGTGTCTAATCCTACAATAAGATGCCGGACGGGCACCCTATTTTCCCCGTGTTACAGATGAGGAAATACGGTTGTAGAACCTACTGTAGTGAGTTGAATAGCACCCCCCCCCAATTCATATCCACCGGGACCTCTGAATGTGACCTTATCTGGGAATAGAGTCTTTGTAGATGTCATTAGCGTGGGCCTCATATCCAATAACCAGTGTTCTTATAAGAAGGCCATGTGAAGAGAGACACACAGACACAGGTAAGAAGGCCAGGTGACAATGGAGACCCAGGTTGGAGGGCTATAGCTAGAAGGCAAGGAATGCCTTGGATGCCAGCAACCGCCATCGTTAGAGCCTTCAGAGAGCCCTGCCAATGCCTTGATTTCCAGCTTTCAGTCTCCAGAACTGTGAGAGAATAAATTTGTTGTTTTAAGTCACCAAGTTTGCAATAATTTGTTATAACAGCCACAGAAAACGAATACAGCTACCTACTTTACCTAGTTTGTACACCCAAAAAGGGACAGGTCCAGGGGATTCTAATCAGTTCTGAGATGAGGGGCACCTGGTGGCTCAGCCAGTTGAGGGTCCAATGCTTGATTTCAGCTCAGGTCATGATCTCTCGGTTCGTGAGTTCCAGCCCCACACTAGGCTCTGTGCTGACAGTGCAGAGCCTGCTTGGGATTCTCTCTCTCCCTCCCTCCCTCCCTCCCTCTCTCTCTCTCTCTCTCTCTCTCTCTGCCCCTCCCCCACTCTCTCTATGTATCAATCAATCAATCAATCTTTCATTGGTCCTGAGCCTATACCCATGCCCCCCCCCATAGGGATCCCTGGCCCTGACACAAGCTTACAACACAGCCCTGTAGAGCCAGCTCCAGAAGACATTGTTTCCATTGAGTGTCTGCTTCTTTCCTCCTAATGAGTTCCAAAACCATCCTGCATCCTTCTTTGGAGCGGCTGCCAAGAGGCTCACTGTCACCTGGCTACCTGCTGAGGTACCATGAACCTTGCCAGTATCCGGTCTTGGACTACCCCACTGGGTGGATAGAGAAGAGCCCTAAAGGTGGGGCAGGTTCATTTCCAGCCACAGCCCTTCTCCCCTCCCACTGGGTCACTGGACCTTGGTTCCTTGTCACTCCAGCTGGGCCACCACATGGGGTGGCCAAGAGCTTGGGAAGCCAAAGGTGTGACTGTCACCGCTACTTGTCTCTTGGCAAGCCCCACTTAGGGCCCAGGATGCCGCCAGCTGGGCCTGGGGTTCAGTTGTGTCCCTCCCACCTGACTCTCTGGCTCCCCAACTTCCCACCTCACTGGCTGTCCAGGGAGCCCATACAAGTCACTGAAGCTCCATATCAGCCCTAGGTGCTGAGAGGGCAACATCATAGCAACCCCCCTACCCACCCACTCAATGGGGTCTCCACAAATACAGGCCTACTGCCTAAGGCAACTCCACGGAGAGAGGCCAGCAGCCTTTACTTAAATATACATGGAGGCCAGTAAGGGGGAACGATGCCCCCCTCTCCTGAGGGCAGAACTCTGTCTCTGGGGCCTCCTGCCCGAATCGGGTTAGGCCAGAAACACTCCCTAAGAGCCAACTCAACCTAACCACCCCCACAGGAGGCAGAGGGAGGCCCATCTAGGGATCCAGGCCCAGTCACCACCTCCCTCTTTTTCTGGGAAAATGTCCTCCAGGAATCTCTCAGCCAAGAACACAGAGGGTGGGGTGGGACATGAGGGGTGGGGCTGAGGGGCAGTTCTCTGCTTTCCACAGGACTCTAACTCTGGGCACCCTCCTGTGCCACTGCCTGGGTTGCCCCCTCTGTGACAACCAAACTCAGCCCTCTCTCTCCCCTGCCCCACACCCCTGCCCTGGCTCGGCCTTCTCATGTTTGAGGGGACAATGTCCAGGCCTGGCTCAGCCTCTGGAAGGATAAGGTCAGGATTTGGGAGACATCCCAGCTCTGGCTCCAGCCCCGAGCATATAAGAGGAGAGGGAGGGGGTTCTTACCAGGCTGCCAGTCTGGACAAGGGGTCTGAGAGGTCCCTGGAGCAATGAGGCTGCTGCTTAAATCTCTGGCCCCAACACCACCACGTCAGGTCAGCGAAAGCGCCTGGGCTCTGGAGGGAGGCAGTCCAAATGGTCATGCAGGTTTGCCAGGGAGGAAACCTGTGGTGCCAAGGTGGCCCCAGGACAATACTGGCTACAGAGGGGGAGTAGTGGAGGCTGCTGGGTCCAGCTGGCAGACGGCAGAGGAGAAGGGAGCCCAGGATAGAAAAGCCCCAGGACCAGTCTCAATGGGGGAGCCCAAGCAGGCAGCAACAGGGGTTGGGGTTCAGTGAATGATCAAGTGACAAGGATACTAAGTTGTCCTCTGTCCTGTATCAGGGGTTCAGCTTCAGGGGACCACAGATCCCAGCACCCTGTCCCCAAACACACTCCTGGGGGGCAATAGTTAACCCAAAAGAGAACTCTGACTCTACCGTCACTTACCATGTGCCCTCAGATGGCCACCCCTCACCCCACACACACCCTGTCTGTGCTCACCCCTCCTGAACCTGTGCCCAGGCCCACTGTCCTCACAGGCTGGACACACACTCTGCTGTGGGAATTGGGTGTCTAGAGCCCTCCTGCTCCAAATGTCCCCTACCCAGGGAGTGTGAGGGCCCAGAGCTGGGAGGGGAGCCTCCAGGAGGCAGCAGGCCCCCAAGTAGGCCCCTAGAGCTGGGTGGGTCCCTAGCCCAAACCTGATCCATGCAGGAGCCAGGGCTTCCCCTCCTCACACTGCCTCCCCACCCCTGTCAAGCTGGAAGACTGAAGCCTGGGGCAGATACAGCTGGCCTGCTTCCAGCCTGCCCAGAGCTAGGTTTAGGGGTTTAACCAGGACTCTTCATCCTGTTTGTCTCCCAGGCCTGGGCCAGAGGGAGCCCAGCCTGCACCACCCAGCCTGCCCAGGCCTCCCCCAGTTAGGCAGGGAGGGGCAGTAAATATTTGTCAATGCAGGAATGTCTACACAGGTGGACAGGTCAGATACTACGATTGTCCAATGGCTGGGAAATTCCAGGAGGCAGGTGATGGCACTGCCTAAGGCTGGCAAGGGAATTCCCCACCCCCCACCCTCCCCGCCCCACACACACCCCTCCCCGACTCGGAGTCCAGTGCTCTGCACCACCAAAGCAACTGCTCCACAGTCAGCATGGAGGCCACTAGCCAAGCGGCACCTCGCCCGGCCCCTGCTCAGTGCCTCCCCAAACGACTCCAGGCCCAGACGACAGAGCTCCAGAGCCCGGTCTAGCGCGGGCCCGGGACTCCACTGGCCAGACCTCCTAAACCGAGGGTTTGGGAGCTCTGGGGGCCCCAGCAGCAACACCGCCGTCCTCCTCCGCTGCGGCCCCGCCCGGGCGCGCAACCTCGGACCCTGCGCTCCCCACCCAATGCAGCCCGGGCCGGGCGGGGCGGGGCGGGGGGTTGGGGCCGGGGGCGGGGCGCCGACGACCGGGCTGCCTCCAGCTCCGCGCCGG